AGAGAAAAGAAGATATAAGAAAATTAAGTAAAAGATAGTTAAAGGGATGTTGGGAGGGTCTCCTCTCCAGCTTCCCAGATGACTGTGTCAAATCCTTGATCCAATAACAATTCAATTTTCTAATGTTTTGGATAGCAGAGACCAGGAATTTTTGTACTGGCTACAAACTAGGAGTATCACTGGGTAAAACAGAGGCTTGAGAACCTGGGTCCTAGGTCAGAGCTCCTGACTCTGATCCAGGTTATGTATATGGAACCAGCTGGATAAATCTTAATGCCACTTGTCTCCCATTTACAAAAGAAGAGTCATCACATCCGGGTACTCACGAGACTCCCTGTGTTTTATTGTTTCCCTGGAAAGAGTGGATAGAAGGGGCCATAGATAATATTTGTCTCAACACTCATAGTAGATATTTATGCTGTCCAATGAGAGAATGTGTGGTGTTAGAAGGGTTTGTGTGCATTCCATGCAAGACAGGGCCTGGGAAATGAGGAGAAGACGCTACCCTGTCACTCTTTATCACTTAGTTAACAATGTAAGATACATGATGGCTGCTAAACAGTTTGGTGGCAGAACATCATAAATGAAGTCTGTTTTCCCTTGAAACTGCATAACCATTTGAATTAATTTAATTTGATATTTCAAATTAAATTAAACTGTAGAATAATCCCCAAGGGAATGCATATTTCATTTGCAATGTCTTTTGATGGAGTATTCCCTGCCAAAAGTTTTGCTCTGCATCTGGCTACAGATCTAAATTTATTGCATTAGCTTTGAGAAGACTTTTAATAGAAAACAAGATTAAAAGAAAACTTGATGGGCAATAAAGATGTTTGGTGCAGAAAGCAGAGTTCTATAGAACTTGCTTCCGTGGCTTCATGCCCTCTGCATCTCTATCCCACCTTCCACTCACACACTGTACAGCTGAGCTGGGTGTTAGCTTGGAGACCTACCTTTCTTTCAACAATGCACATTTACATGTACAGCAAACAGCCAAATGCCCGGTGTCTGCCTGATATATGGCCTAGATGTTGGACCAAACTTTCTTCAGATGCTGGCCCAGAAGGGAATCAGCTTATCTGAGGAGCAAAGGATGGAGAGACAGGAGAAAGGGCAAAGATCGCCTTTCAAGTCGCCATGTAGCCTGGTATGTGAAGCCTCGTCAGGTGGCCATGCTGGGCTCCACCTGAGCTGCCTGCCCCTTCTCAATCCTCTCTCCAAGTGTAACTCTCTATTAAGACTTTGGGGCGCTACGATGGAAGGAGAGAGCTGATGGTGAATCTAGCAGTTTCCTAAAATATAGGTCAGTCCAAATCACCACTTAGGAAATGAGTGGTCTCTTTTTACATGGTAAGACAGTGAGGAAAATTGCACGGAGCAGCTGTCTGCGAGCTGATGCAGTGGGAATAATCTATTTCTTGTTCCTGGTGAGCAAACACACAGCAGGAGAGGCAGATGTGTGGGGCGGGCGTGTGCTGCAAACAAACAGACCTGGCCCTTTAAGGAAACTCTGTGGAAGTTTAAATTGGGCCCAAAGAACCCAGATAAGGGTATCTTAATCAAATATAAAAAAAAAGCATTAGGCTTTAATCTCCAGCACTTTAGTAACCTAGTTTGTTTTAAATCTTGATTGGAAGAGTTACCCTGGCAAGAAAATTAGCAGGAAGTCAATAAGTCTACAGCCCACAGATAGGGCATTAAGTAACCAGAGGAGAATTTATTCCAGTCCAAGGTCTGTGCCTGCCCTCCTCCTGCCACAAACACAAGCCTGCAGGCAGCTCCTGTTGATCCCTTCCGCTAGAGTGGGTGGGGAAGTTCATTACAATTTTAGCCATGAAGCCCCGAAGTGCAGGTAATCATATTTAAAAAGATAAGGAACAGAACAAGAAAGGAGCCCTGCTTCATGAAGAAATTCTAATTTCAGTAGTCATGGGTGGAAAATCAATACTGCTCTCTGATGCAAAATGAGCACTGGGCCTGATAGAACAGCCTCCTCCTCTTGCTTCCTCCACTCTGGAAAGGTCCCCAAATGAATGAATGAATGAATGAATGAATGCAGAAACAGAGAGGAAGGCCTGCAGTACAGAAAGAGTTCACACTGGCAATCTCATCCTCCCAACATGCCTGTGACATCACCCTCTCCTCATCTTATGCCTGTTGAGAATTTCTCCTGGCAAGATCTCATTCCAGCTACCCTTGTCAAAATGTGTCTTCCTGCTGTTTCCATGTAGCTCCTTCCTGTGCCGTGCGGTTGCATCTTTTTCCTAACTCTGTTACCTTCCCCCTGTGTGTGTGTTTGTCATATGCCATTCAGACAGAGAGAGAAGGAAGAGGGAGGAAGGGGAAGGAATGGAAGGAGGGAGGGAGGGAGGGAAGGAGTGAGAGAGAAAGGCAGGGGGGGGGGAGACTAGTGCCAACCTCCAATTTTGTAGTCTTTCATAAAACTATTCCATCACATCTAGTTGTTCCCAGCTGAAGGAAAGGCATCTTCAACTGACTGGCAGTAAGACTAGGGCTCTTTTATACCTTATCATTCATTTAGGGTGACAATTTCAGACACATCAGGAGATTTCTGTTTTAATCACCGATTATGTATTTGGCCAATAAAGCTCATATTGTTAACATTAATATATACATATTTATAACTCAATGGAGCTAGACATAATTAAGTAGAAATGTTCAAATTAACAATGATGATAATCATTCAAAATGAGATTCCCCTGATGTCTTCTAGCAGACGGATCCACCCCCAACCCTGCCATGGAAACTGTGTGCAGCGGTGATGTCTCTCTGCCCACCCCTTATTTAAATAGAAGCACTTTAAAGTGGTCTGCCAGATATAAAAAATGATAACTAGAGAGATAATGAATGTTTGTATTGTATTGTATGGAATGTCAATTGTATTCAGAAACCTTCAGTTATGGGGGAGTTCTTGGAGATGCCAAGGCTCCTGGGGGTTCAAGGACAGGCCATACTCAAGTATGGTGGCTCATCTGGAAGGCTTGCTCTTGAGTTGATTAGGCCAACAACTGACTAAGACCAGGACAGATGTATTATTGTCCAAGCCTATGGAATGCCAGTGGCATAATCTCACATCCCTGGAAGAGAGTGTCACCATCTGCTCATGTTGGCTTCAGCAGCTGAATGCAACAGGCTCCCCCAGGAGGTGGGGGCTGCAGACCCAAAGGCAGAGAGGGAATTAAGGCAACAATAAAACCTTTCCTTTGGGTCAATCTGACGTCTGCCCCTGCCTGCCCTGACTCCCAGTGTTCCAGCGCAGCCAGAGCCTTCCTTGGCTCTGAGCAGCACACATTCCAAATTCAGCTTGGAACACATCCCCTTTTTCCTGCCAAATTCTCTGGTGGCATCCTGTGTTTTTTTTTTTTTTTTTCTCTCTCTCTCCCCAGTTAGATCACAAGCTTCCTAAGGGATATACGTCACCTCCTTTTGCTCCCAAGATGTGAAGAGACTCTGAGTAGATTCTTGGGAAAGACTGGCTCTGTGGATAATCCTCCTCCAGAAACTTGGGCAGGGAAATTGATGGTACTATGGATTGAGTTCATGTTGGACTGAACTTGGTTTCTTGACAGCATCTTCATCGGCACTCAGGACACTGGTTCCTTTGACTTCCTGGCCAGATACATCCACTGAGACTTAGGGGTCTGTCCCATGACAAATGTGGCTCCAGTTCTTCCATTTTGCTATGCCGTGTTACACACATCATTTCTAAACCTCTCCGAAGCCCATGCATTTCAGAGCATTGGCAATCAAGCATAAAGTTCTGGGGCAAGCTGTGAAATCTCTGAAATGAAAATCAATTCCATCTCCATTTCATGGAGACTAATGTGGCATTTACAACATAAACAATCACTTCTGTTGGGGAGGAAAATTAAAAGCTGTGCTACATAAAGGCACAATGTTTAAAGTTCTGCTGGAAATGAGCACTTGGCTTTGAGATGATTACAAAGGGGATGGGGAGAAGAAAGAAAGAAAGAAAAGAAGAAAGAAAAATCCAGCCATAACTGTTCAGAAGTGTGGAGGTTTCATGATGCACATTTCTATGACTTAAAACATTGGTCTCAGCTTAGATCTCCAGGGAAAATCAGAAGCCCTAGGGCTCGTCCTAAGCAGACTGAAACATGGTCAAGGTCTTATGAATGTCATGTCCATCACTTTTCTCAGTGGTCTAAGACACAGGGATTTTTTTCCCTTGAGAAAAGGCTCAAGGTCCCCAAAAAGGGAAACTCCAAAGTTCAAGTCCAAAACAGCTTAGTTCTTAAGAGTCCTTGACCTGACGCCGTTTTTCATCTCATCCTTCCTGTTTCCACATTGGTATAACATGTCCCACCCTCAGATTCTGTGTGCACAATACCACATTTACAAACTGAGATAAAAACTAAAGGCAGGAAAAACCAGAGCCTCTTCCAAGTTAAAAGCCCTGGGATTAAGGTCAGTTTTACAGCTAGCTGAGCCAAGGACTCTAGACAAGGCTCCTGATCTCTGAGGGCTGCTCCTCACCTGCAAAGAGAGATGTTAGGCCACATGATCTCCAAAGGAGACCATCTGTAGGATTTTCATCGTTTTCTTACTCTGCATTAAGACTGCAAACAACCACTCAGTTGGCCTCATTTGCAAGGGTGGTGGAGAAAAGATACAAGCTGTTGCCAATCAGGAGCTGCTCATTTGCATAATGACTGATTCACTAATTAGCCAGAAAGACTTCCAGTACAGCCATACAGGAAGGCAAAGGCTCTCCTGCTGTGACGCTATTTAAGGGAGCCCCTGGCTTTGGCTATTAAGATTCTCAAAGCACTAGCCAGTAACTAACTGACTTTTCTGTGAAACTGCCCCGACAATTAAGAACATTAGCATAAGGGAATCTTTCTCAATTAGCTATTTTTAGAGTGGGCTGGAGACACCACCTTAGTCTTTTAGACATCTTTATAATATTACTATGGTTTTTTGTATTGCCATTGTCACGTCACGTGTACATTTTTTATTCTATTTTTGTTCTGCATCAAGTAATTTGTAGTAATCCTATCACGGGGTAGTAATTTTCACACCATCTGAGGAGAAGTCAGATGAATTTCTGATAAAAGCAGACCTCGTTAAGTCCAACCTGAATGTGGAACACCCAGGGTATAGGTGGTGTACATATACCAGCCAATCATCTCATCACACATCTTGATTTGCCTTGATCAAAGAAGCAATTTGTGTGACATTCCTCCCCTCTCTCCACCAAAGTTGCTAATCACCTTTTCAAGATAGACAGAGAACACTGTACAAATTGCTTGCCATAGCCCCAAAATGCTAATCGCTTACCAACATCTAAATTATGACTTGAGACCTTGCAGGATAAGGTAGGCAAACAGTGTCGGTGCACAGAACTATTATTTACCAGTGTCAAAAATAACTATCTGATTTACATAAATGTGGGCCTAGATGACAACTTCTCTCTCAAACTGCTTCTACAGCAGAAAAAAAGAAACTTCGGCCGGTATGAAGGGAGGCATGTCAGTATTTTTTTTTAACTCTTACAAAATGGAATCGGGCCTGTTGGAATTAGGTCTTTGAGCACTGATTTGGAGAAGAGAAATTCCAAGAAAAACAATTTAGAGTGTGTGTTTTGTAAAATTCTATTTCCTTTGAATTTATCAGTTGCTGTCTTGTGTAAGACGGTGGCCTCCCAAGTGGGTTCTGTGTACCTCAAGCGATTCATTTGGCTTTATGGGGTACAGAGAGAAACCATTGTGTCTTTTAATTCTATCATTCCTGTTTTGTTGATGGTGCTTTTAAAACACACATCTTTAAACTCGTAGTGCATATGTATGCATTGCAGAGAAATGTGTATATCCTGGATGCAGGTTTTTTTTTTTTTATTTTTTATTTTTTCCTATTAGTGGTCAGTGGTAAATGAAAAGTCATTGGAGACATTGTTAGATCATATTTGATCCTGGTAGAGAACATTGTCTGGTTCTAACAAGAATTTTCTAGAGAGACAGCTGTGTCCACAAATATATTACTAGAGGATATTGTTCTATGGCACAAAGGAGCCTGGCTGAAGGTGTTGACATTTTATGTTTCCTTCTATTCAGACAAAGAAATGTACTGTCCTGAAAAACTATGTACTTATCATTATGGTCTTTGAAGGTAAGGAACTACAGATTTTATTTATTTGGGGAGAGAAACAAATTATTTTCAATACATGCTATAATTTATCTATGGATTTAGGCCTTAGTTCCTCAAAGGCCTATGGGATGCAAATTTGGTCCCCAGGTTGGTGGTATGGGGAAGGAAGAGGACTTTGAGGAGATGGGGCCTAATGGGAGAACTTAGGTGTGTGATCCTGAAGGGAACACAGAGAAAGAATAATAGTGTCTCTACAGCCTCCTTCTTCAAGTTGTACACCTCAGGCATTTTGTTACAGTGACAGAAAGCTGATTTGTACAACTGCGATGGGAGGGGGCCTTTTCAGAGGACAATGGCCATGATGGAGAAGCATCTGGAAGCGTACTCGATAAGAAAGTCCCCTGGGCTTGCGATGATCACAAGCCCCTCAGTGCCAACCCTAGCCTAACCCCAGGACTGTGGACATAGACAGAAGGACCCTTGAGATTTCCTGTCCGATCACAGTTCTGTCCTTAACCTCACCAGCCTTCTGTTATTGCCTCCCATTTGTTTAACCACATATATTTATTCAGTATTTAAGACAGCTAAGGCAATTTTGAGGTTTCCATTGCTTCGCTCAGACTCAGATTTGTGGTTCCTCATTCTGCTGCTGAGACATCTTGATCCTCCCACAGGTTTCAAGTGGAGCTGTGACAGGTAGAGCAGAGGTGATAACTCTCCCAGAGGACTCAGTCTCCCTGCACTGTCCATGCTTCAGGCATTTCAGGCTAGGACTGACAGGCACTAGTGTTTGCATTTCTGGAAAACAACAATGAGTAACTCTACTCATTTGGAGAATGTTCTTCATGTTCCATGTTGGGCTTGATGAGAGAGATCCCAAGAAACTCCTGCCTCTGCCCTCGTCCTCCCTCAAGCTGGCCCAGCAGTTGTTGAGACTAGATACAAACTGAAGACTACAGAGAGGTGCCACTGCAGAGGAGGGTGAGCAATGGAGCTTTGATGGGACCTGCTGAGAGCTGGGAGGCCATCGTGACATATGAGGTATCCTGTTTGAAGCAGACTGCCACGATTCCTGTCTCAGCTGTATCTTACCAGCTTTGTGCCCTCAGGTAAGTCATTTCTATTTGTCATTGACTCTCAGTTTTCCCATCAATACAATGGGAATGATAGTGTTTGTTGAGGAGTAAATGAACACTGACTTGAGAATGTCTTGTAAGGGAGTAAATTCTGCACACACATTAGGAATTACTATCAGCAGAGGTCATTCTGGACTAGAACAGCTAGGGGAATCTTTATTTTGCTGCCCGCTTAAAAGTTCTAGAAAGGATACTGTTAAACATCAATGCCAGTGGGAAGAAGTGTTTCTTTGTGCATTCTGCAGTGCTGGGCCATGGGGAGACTATAGGATGAGCATGATGGTGACCCACTTCCTCCAACCCACTTTTTCTTCTGAAGAACCTTCTGGGGTTTGAGTACCTATTTTACCAGTCTGAGAAGAAGGGTAACCCTGGTCAGAAATGGAACTTAGAGGACTGTGGGATCATGAAAGGCCTACAAGAAGAGGGGTATTAATTAGCTATCAGACTCTCGTGCTCTTCCTAAGCAAATGATGTTACTAGATTCCCACACCTCTGTGGCTCACCTTGAGGAACTGGCTCCTCAGGAGAGTTTCATATCCACTGGAGCCTGTGGCACATAGTGAATCACCTCCTGCTAGTGACCAAAGAAGTGTGGTGTCCAGGCTCTGTCTTTGCTGAGAAAGAGCAAGACAACCCCAGTTCTGCTTGCTGCCCCTCACTCCTTCAGTTCACAGTTTGCAGGTGAAAGCTAAATGCAAATACCCTGAAGTGTTAAGATCAGTAAATGAGGATTCAGAAAGATGAACTCAGAGTGGCCCGTAAGGTTGCATTGCTATTCCTTTGGGACACAGTTACTGTTAATCTTAAATCATCTTGTAGAAATGTAATTACTATGTAGCTTCTGTATATCCCCAGATCTTATGAGGTAGACCAGTAGGCTTCATTCAGCCTCTAGGGGCTATGCTCAGTTACTAGGCTGCGTTGGTTTTATCTCAATTTTTATGAAACGCTCTTGGGAGAAGCCTCTCCAAGAAGTTGCTTTCTGCTTTCAATCTCATTTTCTGATAACCATTTCTGAATTTCCTACAACTGAACATGGTCTGGGACTCCTTACTATTCATCTTGGCTTATTTGCCTTTCCTTATGTAGACTCCTCTGTAGTGGGACCACTTAGTTGGAAATGGGGTGTGGGTTGGGCTACAAAGCTGATGTGTAGTGTTCAGTAGAAATAGCGTCTATCAAGCTGGATGTGCAGTGGAGCATGCTTCTGGAGAAGGATGAGACAGGAAGAACTCTTGTGCCAGGAGTCCAGACAGGGAAAAATAGCAAATCCTATGCTAATAAAAAATAGAGGGAGAGACTAAGGAAGGGAAGAAGCAAGGAAGGAATGGAGGGAGGGAATAAAGAAGGAAGGAAAAGGAAGGAAGAAATAGCTATCTTTAATATTTTCCCTTCTCTAGTTCCTACTATGAGACATCGTAGATATTAATAGCATATACGATTGTCCAGAGTAAGTATTGTGTTTCCTAGCCTCCTCTGCAGTGGTGTAAGCGAGTCCTAGCCAAAGGGATGTGTATCAGTAGGGTTGTGTGTAACTTCTTCACTATACCTTTCCCAACTCTTTCTGTCCTCCCCATTGGCTGAAATCTGGGCATGACAATGGGAATCTCAAACATCCATTGTGAATCAGAGATGGAAGTCATGCTTTGCTGCTCATCTCCAGAATTCCTGTGATAGAGTCATGCGTTCTTTTTTGATATGTAGCACGGTTGAGTTTTTGTCAGATCACGCTACATGGAGACCAGGCGGATCTTCTTAGTGAAGGGCCAGAAAATACGGGCTCATGTAATACTCTCTTGTTTCAGCCTTCCCAATGGACTCTTTGTGGCCAAAGACTAAGTGAGATCTGGCCACCACTCCAGGGAGTTTGGGGTCATTTTTCTGCCACACGTTTGACCCTGAGTTTCTCTTTTGGGTTTTATTGCCTTTGGCTGTGCTGTCGTTCTCTGGAGACAGACCTTCAGAGGCCACTCGTGCTCTAGGCTCTGGGGATTCCAGTGTGAGGGCATGACAGGGTGAGTGGAGGAGTGCTGTGCCTGGAGAACTGTCTCGGTTCCAAACTGGGACACATTCCTGTCATTGTCTGGCACAGAGGAGATGGGGCTGCATGGGTTTGCGAGCCAATCCCAGCTCTGTCCCTCAACATCTGTGTCATCTTGAACAACTCTTCTCCCCAAGCCTCATGAGGGATTCAGACTAAATGATTTCTAGAGTGTGGTCCTGTGTTAGCGTTCTACATTGTGGCAAATCTATGACCAGCTTTGTGGCTCTGGTGTCACCTTCGATCCATTAATCAAAAGTCTACATCTGTGCTAAAGGCTAGATGGAATAACTCCACTCACTTCTCATCAAATTCTTGCTAGATCACTCAGCACTGAATGGGAACGGGCTCCTGGAGGTGGGGTAAGGAGGGGGGTGCAGGTGTTGGGAGGTCTTACAGAAGTGTCCGATGACCCATTTCTCTAAGGAGTCTAGAAGTGGGACCGCATGAATCTGTGTGACTAGCATAGTGACTTACTGATGGAATGTCCCCTCTGTGCGAGATCAAAGCAAGGCAAGCGAGGTCACTCAAGAGGTGAGCAAAGGTGGGTGTGGTCGGTGCAAGGCTGTAGCCAGTTTTCTATTATACCGGCTCTATGATTGGGGGGAGTTTCCAAGCTTTGGGGCCATGGTTTCCTGTCTTGTGGAGTAATAGAATGCCCCCCCCCAAGCTCGAAGGTGGGCGGGGGGAACTGTTGTCAAGGCACCTGCACACACTGGGCTCCAGGCACGGAGCAAGCTCCGGCTCCTGTTCCTTCACTCCTCTGACAGCAACTGACTGTCTGATTAAAGACTGCATTTGGTTCCCAGCTGCCAAGCCAGCTCCCCTGCCTTCTGCTCCCTGAGCTGTCCTCCTCTGTTCTCTTTCTCCCTCTAGCTCTCCAGCCCCCTCCCTACCTGCGGCAAAGTTCCCCCACCATTCCGTCTTCACAGAGGGCAAGGAGAGGTGGGGTTATACAGATGCCCAGTGATATTTCAGAAGCTCTAATTAAGGGAAGATTATGCATGCCATTTGAGCTTTAAAAGGGATTCAGCTCACAATGAATAAAATGCTAACGTCTCTCCTGTCTAACCCACTCACCCACATACCCAGGGGCAAAATGAAGCATAACTCAGTTTCTCCAGGAGAAGCTTCGGAAGGCAGGTCCTTCTGGTCAGTGGGCAGACAGTGGCGGTGCCACATTCTTGGCAAATGTCAATTCTGCCATCCATCCCGCCTCTTGCCACCTCTTTGTTAGCTAGATGTAGACAGAGGAAAATGACTGTGTTGTGCTGAGTTCTGCCTCCTGTAGAAGCGTCTGTGTGTTTCTGTTCTGCTCACAGGCAGCAGTGTGAGTTTGGGGCTGGGTGGTCCCTGCGTGACTGCAGAAAAGGATCTTTTCCAGCCCACAGCCTCCTCATCCTGAGTGTGTTCCCCTTCTCTTCATCTGATCTCAGAGGCTAAGCAGGCAGGTCTGGTTTGGGGTGTAATCTTTCACATCCCGGATTTTCATCTCCCAAACAGTTCTCTACTCAAGCCATGGGTCTCTGTGCATGTGATTTATTTTCCCCTCTTGGCTTACTTTAGTACACGCAGAGACATGTATACACACACCTATTCTCCTCCTGCAGGCTCTGCATGCTCGTTTTATGTTATTTCACAGATGAATAGAGCCCTGGCTACTTAGGGAGCGTGCTGTCACTCCGTGGGCCTCTGCAAACAGCGATGTGTTCATTGTTCTACTTCAGTGTTCACAGGAGCAGCTCTGCTGGGCACTAGCTCAGCCCTAAGAGCTCACTCTCTGGGCTTGGATCCTCCTTCATGAACTATCCAAGTCCCAGCCCTAGGAACACTCCCCGCAGCTACTCTAGCTCTGTTCCCTAGGCAAGAGTTCCTTGCTGTGTACGCAAGTGAAGTGAAAGAGGAAACAATGGAGACAGTCCAACAGATTGAGCAAGAGACCACTCCTCAGATAGCAGAGGGTGCTAGAACGATCTGAAACCTTCGAAGAGAGCTATGGCTATAAGAACAGAAGCTGAGACGCTCCGCGTGTCATGGAGGACCCCTGCTCCAACCATATTCACAATTCTGCCAACCCTTTTTATTCCCTAGATATGAGTTTTGCCACCTGTAAAATAGTGGCCTTATCACCAGCAGTCATCCAGGGCTGAAAAGAAGAATCTTGTCAAAATCATTTCCAAGTGTACCTGCAGATAAGGGCCAACCTCTCACCGAAATGCCAGAGAAAGAGAGAGAGAGAGAGAGAGAGAGAGAGAGAGAGAGAGAGAGAGAGCTAGCTATGTGTTCCCTCCCACCAACGGGACTAGCTCCCAGCCGAAAGATGCTGCAGAGGTTACAAAGAAATGACCTATGTCAAAACTTCAACCCTTTCCACACTATCATGGAGACAGGGGCATCTAGATAACACTAGCAACCCTATGGGCTGACCTGCCCAGGTGTCCTCACAGAGTGCATGGCCCGATTTGATTCTGATCTTCCTGGAGATAGCTACTTAGAATACTGTCTCTCAGCAGGTAAGTGCCTCCTTCCCGTGTTTGGCTGCAGAATAAGCAATGCTCTGGAAATTGCCAGGTCACCGTTATTTACTTCCACAGTTACTTTATGGAAAGAAAGCCCTTTCCCTCTTGGTTCCATTAAGAAGGCAATACTGTAATTTCCTATGCCATCTCCCTTTAACGAGGTCAAAGGTCAGGCAAAGGGAGTCAGGCACTCTGAGAAGTGCCCCCCTCTCCCCTGCAGCTGACCTCAGCCAGAAGAGTTAACTATAACTCACTTCTTGGGGGAACTAACTGCTGAAGTTCCTGAAGCCTGGCTGAAAAGTGAGGATGTGATTACTGCCAGGTTCTCTGACCAGACTCAAGTTCACCATTTCTTTTGCCTGCTTTTCATTCTCACCTCCAATCTGCTCCCTGGGGAAGGAGGCACCTCC